CCTCATTTTACCCACCTCGGAAGGATGGAAGGCTGAGTCAACCCTGAGCCGGTGAGATTTGAACAGCCGAACTGCAGAACTGAAGTCAGCTGAAGTAGCCTGCAGTGCTGCACTCTAACCACTGCGCCACCTCGGCTCTGGGAAGATTTGTTTCAACGAAGATGGGCAAGGTGCGAGTGGAATGCTTGTTTGTTATGACCTACTAGATGTCTTGATTGTGGTTCAATTCACACAAGGTGGGTGAGTAGATTGTGTGAACTCAAGACATTTACAGCTTATTTCTAAAGGTAAAGCGTCCTATGGCTTCACGGGCTGCATTACTCCAGTCTTGTCCCATGCAAGTAGAAAAATAGGAACCCACTTTGGTGGGAAGGGAACAGCGCTCCGTGCGCCTTCGGCATTGAGTCATGCCGGCCACATGACCACGGAGACGACTTCGGACAGCGCTGGCTCTTCGGCTTTGAAACGGAGATGAGCACCGCCCCCTAGAGTCAGGAACGATTAGCACACATGTGCGAGGGGAACTTTTACCTTTACCCTCGTTATTTATTCCTCCCCCTTCCCATATCTTGTCCGGCCACCACTGTGGCGTCCCCGAAGACGCCAAGAGAAGATGGCTCCAGGGATGACCGAACCTTTTAGTTCTCTCGTCTTTCGATTCCTCCTCAGAAGGTTAACTAACTCCCGTTTTTCCCCCCTGTCTCTAGCTCCAGTTCTACCATAACCCCAATTTTAAGAGAGGATGCCCTCACCTTCTCACGAGGTGCAAGCGAAGAGTCGGAATCAAAAACATGCCGCCCGTTGCTTTCTCGCTAGAGGAAGATTTCGGCGAAATCTGTCTGAAGAGCAGGTCTGGAAGCCCAGAAGGTCCACCTTCTCTGGGATCTTCTTCCCGGGAAAACAGCTTCCTGACCACTTCTCCCAAAGATAAGATGCACAAACTTGGTCTTCGGAAGCCACCTGTGACCAAAGGCCTTGCTGGAACGGTAGGCCGTCTGAGAAGCGGGTTCGCGCCTTCTCCGACCCCTTTGAGGTCTTCAGATCAGGGTCCACCTGAGGACACTGAGAACAAGATCAACCAGCTGGCGCCTTTCCACTTGCCCCAGCACCCCAACCATGCTCGAGTCAACACCCACGAGATCGATTCCACCACCACCACGTCAGCTACCTCATTGTATCACGTCATACCTCCCGTCCCCAACAGCCCCTTTGCGCCAATGATTGGGCTGCCCGCCTTCCCAACCATGTATCCAGACTTATCCGCCATGCAAGCTCACTGGGCCAGCATCCTTCCCTTCTGCAACCCGTGGTTCTCCATGCCGATGATAGCGGCCGCTTCGGCTATTTCTATGTCCAGGTCTTCCCATCACCACCGAACTCCTTCATACCACCATTGTCCTAACTGCAACTGTACGTCCAACCCTCCGTCCGCTTCCAAAGGAGCTGGACCCAAAACAGCAGACTATGCCGGGTACCATCGATAAAAAGGACTGGGGAAATTCTGGAGACATTTTTGCATCTACTTAAAATAAGGGAATCTATCCACGGCGTGGGCTGAAGAATAAACTTTTGTTCTTCCTGTCTGGTTTACCTAGGTGAACTTCTTTGTATTTCTTTCACCACGGATAACACAGGAGGGATGTTTTCCCCCCTCAAAAGTTTCCTTGTTTAAATGTATAGATCAGGGGTCGGCAACCTTAAACACTCAGAGCCACAAAGGTCCTAACCGGAAGCCCTTCCCCCCACCCATTCAATTCTGGAGCCGACCGGAAGAGTCC